TGAAACCCAACGTTTCCTTGTATATAAGATAACAATGGTTGGGAGACTTTCGTTTCACCCCTTATTTCGAGTGAAAACGCGATAGGATGTCTCGTGGACTGCGTCAATCTGATCGTCGTATTAAAGCCAATCGGCTGCAGTACAACGCGAATCGGTCGTCCTCTTTTGGCCAGATCGACCCTTGAATCTCTGCTTCATTCACTTCCGTACCAAATAAAAGTCTGCCCAACCAGCTCTTATAGCTAGTTTTCTGTTTCAATGACGGCCTCACCTCTGTCTTCCGACCATCTGACCGTCTTGCGATAACTGCTTCCAGCTGGTCTTTTCATGTCTGGGCGCGAGGACTGCCTGAAACCGGGCTCTTCCAGAAAGTATTGGCAACCCTGCCTTGCAGCCCCCCAGTCTTCCTGCCAGACACACACTCCCACATCCGGCTCCAGCGATTTGAGCAGCGTCTGCGGTGCCGGCGCAGAGACGAGGCGAGCTGAATTGACTACCGACACGTGGGCTCCAGAATGGGAGAAAGGACTAGTCAAAGACTGCGTCAAGGGAGGGCCATCCACCGCATGGTGACCATTCGTCTCGAGGGGGCTGCCGGCCGGTGGCACCAGCAGCAGTCGACATGCCGGTTGGCTGCAGTCGAGCAGAGCATCAGCAGCGTCTCCGGATGCGCCATACTGGCCCCAGCCGAACGAGATGAGCGGTTCAGTCGGGCTGCCAACCGGACCACCAGACATGCCGGTACCTCGGCTCGAGTTGGCAGGACCTACGCGCGCAGTCGCAGACACGCCGGCGGCACTGGGACGACGATCGCGATCGGGACCGTGATCTGGACGGCGCTTTTCGTGAGTCCCGCCTGTATCCGGCCGGTTTCGCTCACTCGCCTCACCAGCCCATGCGGAGGCTGTCAAACGCGAGCCTGGCTGCAAGCGAGCACAAATGGGGCTTAACTTTTTGTCTCATTTCGCATTTTATGCTAATCTGTAGATAAGTATTTTGTAGTTATTGCAAGGTTAAATAAAATTTCACAAATTATCTGCTGCAAATTGCAGGAATCACCGAAAATTCCGATTTATTCTTATAATCCAAATGAATCGACGCCTATTGCCGTGAGATCCTACTCAGAACGGCAAAAACGAGCATGAGGGTATTCTGCTGGCCTGACAATCCTGCTAGAATGGAGA